ATATACTGTGTGTGTATATATATACACACACATCTTATATATACATCTTATCCATACATCTTATATAAAAATCATATATAAACATATACAAGCACATACTTTTTATTATCATTAATTACAGGTTTTTAAAGATTTGCCTGACTTTGTTTTTTAATTGGTCTGTCATTTAGAGAATTTTTGTTATAAGACTATTTAAAAATAGTTAAAGAAGAAAAAGGAAAGGAAGAGGGAAGATGTGAAAAGGCTCCTCAAACTGCCATATTATAACTACACTATTCATGTGAAAGATATCATACAGAAAATAAACAAAACAATTTCTCTTGCTTAATATTTAAAAATTGACTAACCTGAATTCCAGCAGGATTTATTAGGTCAAATGCACCAATCGTGTTGAAAACAAATTTCACTACTTTGTTGAAATTTTCATCTCCAATACTCCAGGAAGCATCAGTCAAGAAGACTATATCAGCTTTGGCACCCTTACATACTAAAACATACATTGGATTCAGAAGTCACTCAAAAGATGCAGCACAGTAAAAAAAAAAAGATGTTGTAATTGGAATTATCAAACTTTTCAATGTGATATGCTATCCAAAAGGTTTTTGAAAAACATTATTCTCTATTTGGATTTATAAAAAAGACATTAAGACACTTATGTGCACCAAATATGTGCACAGAACAAAAGATAAAATACCAACTTGTATGTGTAGATACACAGAAAATAGTGAAAGATTAAATGCCGTGTTAAGCAGAACTTACTTCATTTTACAAGCTATGATTACTCTTAATTATAGTACTTTAAATCCACATAAAGCTTCAGAACTCTCAATCCCCAACAGTTTTCAGATCTTATAGACATCTAAAAACAAACACTTACCATCACGTGCAGGTGGGATTGTTGGAGGTGGAGGTGGCGTAGGGGGTTCAGTTGGAGGTTCAGTTGGCTTGATTACTAAAGGAAATCAATTAAAATATTTTGCATTTTCTTAACTTGGTGAGTAACATGAGCAGAGCAAAACTATAGTAAACTGCTCACTTGGCTGATCAGTTGTTAGAAGTTTACCAACATGTTCCAGCAAAAGTTGGATCCTCCTGTCACCCTAGCTATAGCTCAAACGTGTCTCAGTGACTTTGAAGTCCTGCCACCGTGGCCACTTACTACCAGCATTATTGTTTCCCTGGAACACCTGTTGAGGATGAAGCATGTACATTGCTGAATACTCCCTCCTGCTCCCTCTGTGCCCATTCTCCATATCTCTTTCCCTGATGGACAGGTCACAAGCATAGGGGATGGATGCAACATAAAGCAGGAGGGAGCACCTCTGATGTTCTCACAACCCATCCTTCTTGCCCATGACTTCTGAGTGGATTGCACTTTCATGCTGCTGTGTTTGCAATGTTGCCTTAAAGATAACATGTAATGAACTCATATCTATAAATGTAACTATTCTGCCCTGCAAAAAAGGTGAGGAATGGGGAGAGGTTAAGAAGTATCAAACATCTGATTGCAGTAAGGCACAACAGACATAAGTAGTAAGGACTGCTGTCTCTTCTCAGACTAATGCCACATGCTACGCAGCTTTACTGAGAAGAAATTGACACTAAGCTCATGAGATTCAAGGCACGTTGCACAAAATTACTGACCAAATGTCACCTGCACTAGGACAAGTATTGCATTGTAGGCCACGGTTTGTTAAATATCCCATGGTGGCTTCATTTAAGTACAATACTGTATTAGGCATGATGGGTGGTTTGCATATCTTACAAAGTCCTAAAATTCCCAGGTATGACTTAGCCTTATGCATGAGCCAGGCTATTTTGTCTGGCAGGCAGAATGTGAAGACTGGAATCCAACTGTTTTCTGAAATCCTGGCAGTATGGCTAGTCACATAAAATACATATATTTTTCAATTCATGAATGAAGGGAAGTTAGGTTCTCTGAAAAATAGAGTTTTACTAAATCAATGATATATTCAGGGAAAAATGCTTTAATTATATTCTTTCAAGATTCTCTCAAGTTGTTTTGGTTTTGTTGTTGTTGTTATTGCCGTTCTTGTCATCTTGGACTTACATGTGTGTTCTTTTGTAGACACTGGAGGTCCTTCAAGATTTGGAGTCTGTACAAAGACAGTAGCATTATACTCAGTATCAGGTGAAAGCCCAGTGAAACAGTGACTGGTTTCTGATCCACGCACTGTTATTTCTTGACCTCTAGATCCTGTAAGCAGGTAAAAATAAGAATGCTTAATTTGTAGGAACTTACATATACAGTATATCCCTGTTTGTAAGCAGTATGCAGTAATACACATCACAAAGAAGTGAAATTGTTACCAAGTGAAATTATTACCAACTCTACTGCAGGGTGTTTTGTTTCTGTTTTAATCTTCTAAAACTCTTGGAAGAAACCATGGAGCATCTGGCCTACAGGCTGGTGAATAGCACTGCCAGGATATGAGAAAGAAAAGATGTGGAATAGCTAATCTCTCACAACAGCACACAGGGGAAGAATTGCTTCGCAAGCAATATTCTTCCTTAAGATGCAGGGTAGTTAAATTTAATACTTGTTTTCATCTGCTTCAGAGTTCCTCAATGCTCATACGAACCTCCTCTTTCCAAAATAAAATAGGAGATAAAAATACTTTCTAGCCTTGTAACATATTCTGTTTGTACAACTATGTTTCAAAATTATTTATTCATATCATGCAACATATAGAAGCATTATTTGCAGTAACAAGTTCACATTGATTAATTACTGAAGTGTAATATTAAGGAGAATTATAAATGAAGGACCATCTGGGGCAAAATATGTTCAAATCAGGTATATAAGATGTATAATAATCTGATATCTTATTGGGAGATATAGATGATTCCCGCAGAATATAGAAAGAAAGTAAAAAGAATCCACAGTTTAAGAAATGTCCACTGGAGCACAAGAGTATTCTTCCACTGCCAAAAATAGATAATTTCCTTGGAACCCTTGGCCAGTGTGAAGCATTCAAGCTTTGTGCTGTCTTTCTCTCCAGCTCCCAACCTAGCCAAGAGTTCCAGAGTGGTTCACCTCTCTGAGCCTGAACCTTAATTAAAGACAGCTTTCTGGCTAAGGGCATCCATCCACAGAAGAAGCAGAAAAGGGATTTGTCAAGCATGGGGTATCATCGTCGTCGTCGTCATCATCATCATCATCTGCATACCATAGCGTGGCATAGCATAGCATAGCATATCACATCATATCTCATATCATCAAAGACAAAAGGAAAGTTAAAAAAAATAGATCTATTCCTAAGAAGGTTAGGACAATATGTAGAAGTTACCCTGCTTGGCAGGCAATGTGTTGACACCAGTATATGTTAGATACAGTTTTGGCCAGGTTTATTTATTTATTTACTAAATGTATATTTCTATTCAAAGGAGAACTCCAGTCAGAAACAAAAGATAAGGAATAATTTTTTTAAAAAATCAGGGGAATATCTGCTAATCAAATATAATTAAAAATACAAAGGACCCATTATCAATTGTTTACCAGGACTTATAAAAGTAAGGATTTATAAACAGATTTATAAAAGTAAGGATTTATAAAATAAGAGAGAGTACTTATTAGCACTCTGCAGATTTCAGTTCCCTCCCTGGTCCTCACTACTTATTGTTATCAGTAGTTGAAAATGCACATTTTGAATAATCATGGAAAGTTCAGAAAAGCAGCAGGGATATAAAGGAAGCACCCTGAAGAAAAAGGTCCTGCAGCTGAAATAATGCTATTTTTTGCTGGAAACAGCAATCCTCCATATTTATTTAATGACATTATTTATAACAACTCCAATCCATACAGACTTGAGTGGTGAACAATGTAATTCAGATATGCCGAATAATTAAAAAGGATCAATAAATAGTCTGTAAATTAGTTGTGACATGTAACCAATATTTCACCTAAAACTATAGTTACCATCAGCTGGATTTAGCTTCAGTCTGTAAGAAGTGGCTGACCGATGAGCTGCCCATTTGATACAGAAAGTGTCCCATCCCACGTTATAACTTGTTACGTCTGTAACATTCAAGTACACTATGGAGAATATAAGCAAAAAGTTCCATTAAGCACATGGAGGCAAACTAAATAAGCTCTGCAATTATGACCAATCATGTTAAGTCATTCAGCACTAGGGTTACCAGATGTCTGGCAAAAAGAGAACATGTCCTCCTTTTTGTCCTCATGTCCTCAGTCTGACGGCATAGTCTTAAAATCAAATATTGTCTGGATTTTTGAATATCTACAAGCTATCTCTTCCTGAGCAGGTTTTCTCTGCAGCCGTGTTTGCTAATGCAACAAGATCTGCTCTGTGACCTTCATTAGTTGATTAGAACCCTCCCTCCCCGCTGCCTGAAGCTGACTAGAACTTAATCAGTTTCATTATAATTATAATTTATTATTTATTGAATTTATATGCCACCCATCTCCCCCAGAGGCTTTTGCCTCCTATCTGCTCTAGCATATTCTTGCCATTGAAAGTCTTTCTGATGCTGGAAAAAGTAGTTTCATATACATGTAGGCCTAAGGGTTTTTTGTTGTTGTTGTTGTTGCAGCTGCCAAGAAAGTTAAACAGTCAGTGTGTCCTCCCCCCGCCCATTTATCCTCCTTTCCTATTGTCTGTGTCCTCCTTTGCTTATTCAGATATCTGGTAATCCTATTCAGCACTGATCAGGAGATAATGATTAGGAACATTTTATAATACTGCAAAAAGTGAGACAAAGCTTTATTCAGACAAACTATTATAGATTTCATCTGATCATGATTTACAAGTTTATTTATATTCAGGCAAACACAAACATGATGTAAAGCAGAGCTACAGGCAAAGGGCTATATGCAATGACATCAGGCAATGCAGGAATCAGAGCTGATTCAAAAATGGACAGTGAGACTGCACTCTTCTTTTTCAGAAAAAACATTTGCTTGAAATCCCAACACATGAAAATTCCACCATTAATCCTCAACAAGTTAGAATGCTTTACAGATCTTCCTTATTACATAGCATTGAAACTGAACTTGTTACTGAATATTCAGCCAAAATGGAGATGTACTGAGACATTTATATTCAAATATATATTTATATTTCACCCATTATATTTTATAAGCTTTAAAATCTTAGAAATATGCATAAATATAATACATTAACAATCATTGGGGGAGGGGTTGCTACTCTCAGCACCTTCCACAGGAGCGCAAGAAGAGGCAGGATAAAAGCAGCTTCATGGCATAAGGCCTGCACCTTTCATATGTGTGTTCTGACTCCACATGCATGCACAAATGGGGCAGAAGTCATTCAGAGGTCACTGCTTTGGTCATTCTGATGAAAGCAGCAAGCTCCTGCAGATGCCCACTGCTATCATACATTTATATGAAGGACACTGGGGTGTAATATTCCCTGTACAGAGAAGTTTCAAGAAAATTGGCATCTTTCACACCATTAAACACAGAGACAATAGCACGATGTTTAAATACCCCATAGTGACCTAGGGATTGAACACTTCTTGGATAATGGCATGTTCCCTGAAAGCCCAACATAATAGGGCACTTATTCAAATGTATCTTTTCTACAGAGCAGGCAAGCTCTAAGAGATCAAGCTTCCTTGTTGAAATCATTTCAATTCTCACATCAGTATTAACATATAGGGAAAAAAAGCTTACATGTAGTGCCTTGATCAACCAAGGGTTCGCTAATTCCAGACTCATACTGAGCATATACTTGCACATCGTAAGGAGTACTAGGCAATAAGTTGTGTAAAGTATATGAAGTCATCTCTCCAACGAATACCTCCATGGGCTCATCCGAACCTTAGAAGAAAAAAATATGGAAAAGAATGTTAATGTGCAGTCCTATATATTAACATAAAGAGATGCCTTATAATGAGCCAGATGATTGGCATTCAATGGAGAATCCCTATTTTGCTGACAGCAATTCTCTGGGAATTTAAGTAGAGGCCTCTCTTATAAAATCATAGCAAGGCCTGTTTTGATACCAGTTTTTGAAAGGTGCTGAAAATTCAGTCTCAAAGCCATACTTGCATGTTTGCAGTCCAGCATGTGCAGTCTTACCTACAGGTTTATACACAATTTTGTATCCTAGAACAGGAGATGGGACAGGATCCCAGGCCACTCTGAATCGAGTATACCATTCATCAGAAATACGTATATTCTGAGGAGAAAGCAGTCCAACTAAAAACAAAAGAATTAAATGTATAAAGTTAGGGAAAAAGGCATCTGATAAACTGTAATGCCAAGTCTATGTTTTTTTTTACTTCTTTCAAAATTTTCTTTTCCTCTGAAATCTTTAAAATGGCTCATTATTATTTTATTATTTTCCCAAGCTGCAGGAACTAAATGGATCCAATCTAAACTCTTTTTAAGAGTTATTCTCTCACTTTATTTTTATTGTTTGATTTGTGTTTAATTCTTTAGGCAGAGTGGTTAGGTTCATGGTTTGACACATGCAGAAAAGGAGCGTACAATAGTTGCTGATAGAGTCAAATATCCAATCTGTAAGGCTGAGATTTCCATACCAAAATAAATAAAATTAATTTATGATTTTGGAGCCTAAATTAAAACTGAAGCCTTTGAGTACTATCATATTATTAAAATCATCTTTAGAAAATTCCGATGGTGTGCATAGGGAATAATTTACCTTGGGCTGAGAGTACCTAGAGAAATAACTCAGATTATTTAATTGAATTTAAATATATTGGTATTAGAAACAGCAAGAGATTTAGCTACATGTGCCTTGCTTAAATTGGGTATTGGGAATAAAATTAATAATTTAAATATGAATGTTTCACCACAAGTAATTTGTATCATATATGGCATTTGTTTAAATATTTTTAATATGTATTTTCAGAAATGTAATGGATAGTTTCATACCTAATAGAAGTGAATATGTGTAGCTCAGGGTTGAACTGTAGAGTCCTTGGGGTTCTCTGAGCTTGGCTGTTTTCTTGCAAATGTTTCGTTACCTGGCTAGGTAACATCTTCAGTGCACTGAAGATGTTACCTATTTGGGTAATGAAACATTTGCAAGAAAACAGCCAAGCTCAGAGAACCCCAAGGACTCCACTGTTTCAGATCTATACTTCCTCCAGTATACTATGTAAGACATTTTTTTCAACTTGGGGTGACAAATGGCAAATTTTGCCTACAGTAACTAGGCTTTACAGAGCTAGTTAAGTTAGTTTGGAGGAGTAATTTGAAGCAGTCCTTTTCTTTTTTCTTTACAGACATTAAGCTCTCCTTCATTGTTGGCTGAAATTTATTATTTGAAATCCAAAAGAGCACTGAGATAACAATTATATCAAATATACCTGTTTTTCCATTTCCTGTCACTTGTCCACCATCTCCATCATCATAAACTGCTACAACTGTAATTTTATAAGGTGTATCTGACTGCAAAGGCTGTAGCAATACGTTGTTTCTTCTTCCAGGCACTGTTGTCTAAAACAAAATGCAAGCAGGCAAGTATTGTGCATTTAACAGAGTAGTAACTATAAATAATTTACCAATCACACAAGTCGTAGTATACAAACAGACTGCACCAAACAAGAATATATACTTTTATTTTGGTCCACCCATCACACTTACCCACATGTTGGGTAGTTTGGTCTATGTCTACTGTTAGTGTATATATTGAATTGGATAGTTTAACATCCAGTAAGATGTTAAACAGTAAGAATCATCCAAAGATGGAAGTAGATACAGCCTCAAACTCGAAGATTAAAATGTAGTTCAGTAATTCATATTTATTTTATTTAGGAGATTCTATACTGCCTTAATCACTGTGGACTGTAAGTTGATCACAGTTCAATAATACAACACAATACAACAATGCAATAATATCTTCTTATTCCCCCCAGATTGACCCCAGATTGGCCATTAATGTTTTTCCTTCAAAGTGACTGAAATTCTATAGTAAAACAGAGACAAACATTTTATACTACACCAGTATATTTTTCCTCAAGTATAATACTAAGACATAGCAAGCTTACTCAGAAATAAGCAATAATTATAAGCAACTACAACACATTTTTATGGACTGAGAATTTTTTCCACAGAAGTGAACAGAATTTATACCATTAACCTCCCTATGGGGAAATAATTTGGCTAAACTATATCAGCAAAGTTGGGCTGCTAAATTAGAAGTAGGAAGTTATAAACTGTAAAAAATATTGGAAGAATGTCCAAAAGAAAAATTGAGAGCCAAAACCCATTACTGCTACTTGTGTTTATACTAAGACAGATATATAATGGTCATTAGAAATGAATGGCAATCAACTGAGATTATCCTTCCATTCAGGTGGATAGAATTGGCTTGTACAAATATGTATCCTCCCCTTCTTGATCACCTGTGCACAGATTACAAAAGTAATCCCTGACTATATTTTCTGCTCTTGAGCTGACTATATATTAGCGTTATTTAAACCCACTGATTTCAATCAATTTGCATGTTAACGGAGCTTAAATATACCTTATATTTAAGCTACTCTGTACAGACAAAGGTGAGTAAGATAAAGTTATCTTGCTAAGGAACCACTACTTTTAATTCATAACCTGACAGCAAAGAAATGAAGAACCTCCTTGTAACAGCCTAACTCATGTGCTTATTTTTTCTGGACAGAGTCTGTTTGCTCTTATGGTAGAGATGGAAGTATATTCTGTTTTTAAAAGAAAACATACCCATAGTGAGAAAAGTAAGCTTACAGACTTTTTTTTTTTTGCTAAGTAGTGCATACTGAATGAATAGCGCACATATGAGCAAGAGGCCACAATTTGTTTACAATTCATGGTGAAATGTACCTATGCAACAGGCAGATTAAAATGTACACATAGTAGGTTGGATATAGACCTTTTAAATCCAGTTAAATCACAGGAACAAGCAAGCCATGACTAACAATACTATTTATTTCAATGAGTCTACTCTAAATGTGATGAAGTCTAGCCTAATGGCTGCAGCAGTGCAAGATATATTTCTAATAGTTTTATTTCAGAGGAGGAAATAGTTTTGCCTTTTCCAGTAAGTAGTCTGAAATACTACTAAGGCTTGTAAAATTAGCTTCACCAGAGAACATGAAGACTGAAGAAAGTTATATTTCCAAGAAAGTTACTGCCTATGCGTAACTGTATAGTTACAGGGACATGACTCCGTTTTAACCATGCAATGAGAAAACAGTATTTTTCATTTCATTTTTCATTCAACAACTTCTACACAATAGGGGCATTCAGATTTACAGTTAATACAGACTATAATATATACTATGAAACATGAACTTACATATTCATCAATGGGGTCTCCAGAAGTGGGAGTATATATGATTCTATACTGCTGCACAGGCCCATCGGCATGGTCCCATTGAACAGAAAGGCTGTTTGTTGTTGGATCAAATACTCTTATATTCCGGGGTCCACTACGAGGCACTAAGACAAATGAACATTCAATATAAAATAAATCCAATGCAGTAATCTTCTCAAAGCATAGCACCCTGCAAGTACTTTACAGGGGCATATACATAATGGGGGAAATTATGTCTTTTGAATCCAGAACAAACAATTGCATTTCAGAGATTGTGCAGAATTATTTTGGATCAGCCACAGTCTGGAAGAACTGAAACTTGGAACATTCTGATTGTTTTGGATTTAGATAAAACAAAATCTAGATGGGGTACTTAGAGCACATTGCCCCTTCTCTCCCCTCCTCCCCTTAGCAGCTCCTGCCATTGCACATTTCATCTGCCCACCAATACCCCAATCATTTCTCCCCTTGCTTCCCAACCTCTTATTAACCTTGCTGGCTTTTTTCCCACTTGAAAAAAAGCAGCTGTTTCATTCCACACATACACCAGACACATAAAATATGCATGTTTCTTTTGGCCACAGCCTATCTGAAACCAGCTTTTCTGTGCACAGAACATTTTGCATAACCTTAACATTAACAAATTGATTGTGTGTGTGTGTGAGTGTATACTGTATATATACACACATACATACATACATACATACATACATGTTAATGTTAATACATACATAATATTAGATCTAAATGCACTGAAATTGCTGGATCTTAATAATCACTAACACAATCCCATTAATTTAAATTAGTATATTCTAAATACAGCTAAATCTGGATCTAATCCATAATATTTCTAAGAAAACTCAATTAATTCCATTGGCTGACTCCAATTCAGTAATTTTCAAATGATGCTCAGTAGAAAAACCATTATATGCACTCCTCTTCATGCCAACAAAACCTTGAATCAGCACAGTATGGATACTAAGCAATTATGAGCGCGGGCAGCTAAAATTACTTTTCTTAACTTCACTGCTTTAACATGGTAGAAAACAGCCACTGCTAAATGTAATCAATCAATCATAGAATTTTCCAAAGTGATTGAATTAATAAGATTTATTTTATGTAATCCAAGCTGATGATCCTTTCTAAGTTTAAAATTGTGAACATTTCTGATTTGCTACATCCTCCTAAAACATCTTCAAGGTTAAAACTATTTGGCTTCATGATCCAGGTGAATGTTTAATACATAACTGTCCATGGCTTCAGAAACTATAGTTAAAATAATTCAACTAAAATAATTGCATTTAGCAAAAGAAAAATTAAAACTGGTCAAGTGAGAATTATAAACTTATTCCATGTTTATTCAATTTTTACAAGTTAAATAAGAGCAAAGCCCACAGTGGAATGACCAACGCAACAGCTAGTGGGATGTCCATAAAATAAATTTCATGGAAAATAGCTGACATTATTTATTTTCCATTAATTGAAAATAAAATGCCCAGTGATAGAGCCAGTGACAGTGAGTCTGACATGTCTACCTGTATACTACATAAATAATTATTTCCTCTTTAATGACTAAATGCAGGTAGAATTGTGCTTTCTGACATTGCACTTTCATCTCGTTTGATGGTAAGTGGAGTCTCTCATTGCATTTCTCTAATTTCTTTCTTTCCTCCAAAAGCCCTTCCTCCATCAGTGTGACTTGCATCTTGTTTCTTCTACAAGCTCAACCTTTCTCCTCTCTGTCCCCTTTCTTGTCCTCCAACTGCAGGACCTCTACCACCAGCAGGCCTTAATTCCTCCAACATCTATACATCCCAAGCATCCACTGTGCAAAGTTTGGAACATATCATCCTTGTGAGTCTCAAAAGTAGGAGTCCTCTCTTTTAAACCACCAAAATTCCTCCTCACAAACCCATCCTTGGGGATGCACATGGCCCTCTCTTGATATTATCTAATATAAAATCCCAATACTTAAAGTTGTATATTTTAACTGCAGGAAACACTTTGTAAATTTGTACCAAAGGGCAATGTCAATCTGAATATGTCACTATTGATAACTCAAGTTGAAATCATGAATGTCACTTTCAGTTACAATGAACTGCAGGCTGATATCACATACAAGTAGCTATCAGTATTCACCAGGGTATCTCTATATTTCTGATCATCTATTTGTGTATGAACATTTACCAAATTCTGGATTTTCATACTAATGTATACAGTTATAGTTAAAGTCATGGAGAGTATGAATTTGAGTGAGGTAGTTTAGTCCTTAATACAAAATTGCCTTTAATTCCTCTGGATATTTTAATGTGAAACATTTAAGTGTTCAAAGAGTACACTTTAAACTTGTATCCAGAGGCAAAATATTGGACTAAATACAGCAAAGTTCCCTATGCAAAACATCCCTCATATGCATTAATTCAATACTTCTGATCACCTGAAACAAGAGAAACTATCCTCAACTAAGGCCCAGTGCTGAATATAAGAACTGAAAAATATTTGCAGAGATAGCTAGGAAGGAGAAATTCACAGTCATCAATTAGAGTTTAGCAATAACATGCATGTTTTCTGCTTACATGTTCTTCCCTGTCCTGTAGTTGGATCTCCTTCTCCATCAGCATACAGAGCAACGACATTTATTGAATATGGAGTGTCAGGAGTCAGACGCTCCAGTAAAACATTGCGTGTGTTGCTTGGTACAATAACCTAGGAAGAAAGCAATACTGAAATTTTGTCTGTAACTGATGGCAAGCATTTAATACTTGCTTCATGGATATCCTTCACCAGCCCAATAAACTGCTTAAATAGTGACTCTTCAGGAGAAGTTAACAGCTGATAAACTGCCTCAACACTCACTTTGGACCACTTGACATGGGGGTTATATTTCTGCGTATATCCCACCAAACTGTGAAATCTCTAGAAGTGTCAGAAAGTTGCTGTTAGAATGTTTGGCCAGACTTCTTTTATATCTGTCCATCTGTTGATCTATCTACACATGGTGAGGTTTTAGATTACTATTATCTTTTTCCTATAACTTGTTCTCCCCTCCCCACATGCACTGTGAGGATTTTTTATCTCTGACCGTAAATCAACAAAGTAAAGAACTGAAAGCTCAGAAAAATCTAAAATTGGAAGTCACCAAGTGAGCTTCCATGATGGAGGGTGAGCCTTAACTTGATATCCAGTCCAACACCTTAACCATTACATTTCTAAGCACAGAAGCATTTCTTCACAACCTAGTACAAGACTGCTATAAATTATGAAGTTGTCCCTGAATAGTAAGAATGTCTATACTAATGTTTTTAGAGTGAGCTTGTATGTGATACAAATGTATGTACAAACATTTAAGCAGTTGTCCATCCTGTGAAATCTGGTTGCATAAAGGAGTGACAAGTCTTGGATAATATTAGATTACTTTGGATATTTTAGATATATATTCAGAAAAACTGAAAATGCCAGTGGTTGTCTCAATAGATATGGAAAAAGCTTTGGTTATAGTAAAATGTACATTTTTCAAGCAAGTTCTGGCCTAATTATGGATTTCTTTCCTTTTTTATTAAATGGATTAAAATGTGGTATTCTAATCCTTTGGCCAGAGTTGTTATAAAAGGAAATATCTCTCTACCTCTCTACAACTCCTGATATAACGGCAAACTTAATAAATATTAATTCATATTTCCAAGGTTTAATGTTCAAAAACTGTTTTAGTATATATTATATATTTTATCTTTTTATCTTTTCTTTCTTTTTCATTTTATTCTTCATATATGTTTACACACACACACACACACACACAAATGTTCAATACACAACAATGTAATCTTTACAGGCCAATTCATGAGAGGAAGTTACTTCTGGCCAAGTGTGCAGTAAACTATATATTACAGTCAATGTACTTTTCAGCTTGTGACTTAACCAAATAATCTTCTGAGTGAACTGTAATGTGGCCAAATTAATTTGTTTTCCATTATAAATCGGTTAACTTTTCTCTCAAATTTCAACAAACCTGAAAAACAAACCTGCTTTTTCTTTTTTCTTTTCTTTTAGTAATGCAATAGTCTCTAACAAATAGTCCTGGCCTTGTATTAACAACCTTCTCTAATTTTATCTGAACTGAAATTGTTTAAAATAACTGGAAAAAATATATATGGCATTCAGAACATTCAGACATTTACAGTGGAATAGGATGCATTACTTGTTTTTCATCACCCAGAGATCACTGTGGAAATAATTATCTTAAATTACTTACAGATTCTGATGGTTTTGTGCCAGCTAGTGGATTATAGACAATTTTGTACTGCTGCACTGGACCTGGTGCAGATTCCCACTGGACGTTAAGGCTGTTTGTTGTTGGGTTGTAAACTTGGACGCTTCTTGGTGTCCCCCTCATCACTGAATCATGAATAATATAAAACCAATTTGCATTTTTTTAGAAAAAAAAAATTCCTTAATTGTAGATTCTGGTATCAGCAGAATGTGAGTTAAAAATGGTGGCTTCAAGGCCAAAGTTTGAGAGAGCAAAGTATAAACAGAAGATTTAACTATATCTATTGCAATGTATGTCATTTATATAATGATGTTATTATGCAAATGATATCTGTGTCATAAGATATTATGCAAATACAGCAAACTATGCAATATGCATCATTTGCACAATGATGTCATTCCACAAATAATGTCACTTGTGTCACCAAAATGACTTACTCTTCAATTTACTGGACTCTGGGGAATACCCAACACTCCTTCCCACCCCCATCCCTACCAGTCTATTAAAAGTAGGTTTCACTGGACTAATTTTGGTATCACTGAAGAGGATCAGCTCTGGAAGGGAGAACCCAAAAATACTTTTTCATATGTTTCTGGTAGTGCCAACCATACCTTAAACCAATGCCTGCATTTGCATATAATGTGAAGCCAGGATTTGTTTTAACTGTTTCATTAAATAAGCCAAAATCAGCCTTGCAACCAAGCAAATTAATTATTACTTTTTGCCAGTTCCAATTCTGATCCCCTGTATTTCTTCTGCCATACCCAGATTTTGTACAAAGTACAAAAACTAACCAGGAATAAATCATAGTTCAGAGCTCAGTCTTAAGAATAGTCCTTCATCAAAACAAGCTAGATTCATTAACAAACTGGTTTTAAATGTGTTTTGCCATGGAGCTAATCCCAAAACAAGCCACCTTCAGGCTTAGGGTTATATGGGAACCAGGCTAATATCTACAAAAATGCCTTACTAACTGATCTCAATGATTTGTACAATACCATAATGAAGTCCAATAAGCTTAAACCCATTGGAATCAGCACGTTACATTCACTTAATTCTACACTTAATTATGCCCCAAAGTCCCAACATTTCATCAACATTTGATGAAAGGGGGAATGTAGTTTTACTTACATGTTTTCCCCGTATCAGACATTCGGCCTCCATCACCTTCTGAGTAAACAGGAACGACGGTTACTTTGTATTGTGTGTCAGGCTGTAGATTCCTTAGAACAGCATAATTTGTATTCCCAGGGAAAGTTACCTATCAAAGTTTAAAACAGGGTAAAGACAACATGTAATTGGCAGTTGGCAACCGGAGACTTGCTTAGATGACTCCATTGCTGAGGGGCCATTTTAATACTCCTTTCCCTATGGTTTGTTTCTTGGTTTTTATGATATTTTTCATGTGTTTTTTATATTTTTCATGTTGTTTTTATGTTTGTTTCTTATCCGATTGTTGAACGTCACTCAGAGTCACTTTTGGTGAAATGGGCGGCTATATAAATTTGCTTCATAATAAAATAATAAAAAATAATTTCATGGTGTTCTTAAACTACTTTCCCTGTATACTGTAAAAGGTGACCTTCATGTTCACCAAAGTTCTATTATTTTATCCAAAACTAAAATCCCCAGGGGACTTTGTCACCAATGGTGAGTGTTTCATATGCAGGGTCCCCAAATTAAGTGTAACATCATTTTGAAGAGCCTCCAGACATGTGCACAGAAACTGAACAGATATGAAAATATGTATACAAAGCAATTACCATTTCCTCTGCACCTCCTGCCACAGGTACATAATACACCTTGTATTGACGAGGATTCCCTTCAGCATGATCCCATCGGACGTTTAATGTGCTAGTGGTTTGATCATAAACTCTAAGATTCCTTACAGTATTGAGAGGTTCTGAAGTGATTTAAAAGTACAAGGAAGACAGAAATATTAAAGACATATATGCATTAATATAAATTCAAGTGATATACATTAAATGTGAAGCATGTTGCAATTGTGAGAGGGGTGGCTACATAAATTGATATAACAAATAAATAAAGTGTCCTAGTTATGAAAGGTAGCATAAAACTGACACTTGAATCACTGTCATGTCCACTTTAGTTGTTCATTTTTAATTAGAAGTTGTTACCTTCTAATCTAAAGGAAATCTGACAACCTGCTCAAAAATGCTGTTTCCTGGAATATAACTCTCTGCTGTTGCTTTGCTGCTGCTGCTAATTGAGGTTTAAGGAGGGCTGAGAAACTTCACTACTCAATAGCCATCCAGCTGTGCTACTCATGGTATAACTAAGCTCTCATGTTCCTGAAGCCATTAACCTCAATGGGGGGGGGGGAGCTGTTCTCCACTGGCAAAATGAAGAGGTGGAATGATGGTAACCTTTCAGACTAACCTACCTCACTACATGGCTGTTCAGAAAAAAATACCTTTATAAAAGAAAGACAAAATAAAAACCAAACTAATAAAGATGCTTCCCTACCATCAACAGTACAATGGTTATTAAACTATTGCTCTCATAGGGTTAGTTGTACCTATCCTCTTCACTACCAGTTGCTAACTCTATAGATATAAATGAAGAGTAATTTCTCCTAATAAAACTCATTTCAGATTTAAGTCTGAAATGTGTTTCCCTCTCACTGAAGCCAAATGTCAAACATCCAGGCACTTGTGAAATAATTAATGAATAGCACACTTTTAAGGAATAAATGGGGGGAAGAGGAATCACACATTTAGAGTTCATGGCTTTTATATATGTGTATTAAGCACAGTGAATGTCGGAGATGACCCTAAAGTGCCAAGCTTTAGAATGTCAACACAAAGGGGCTTGCTTTTCAAACAATGAAATTAAGTAGATTTTATTTTTATGGCTGAAGCAGCCTTTTTTGGTAGGGTAATAGCTTGCTGACCACATATATTTGAGGATTTTTTTAAACTGCATTCCAGCGCTAGAGAGACGAAGCCCAGAGTGTTGAAACAACTGAATTGCAATGGACAGAAAGGGGAAAGGAGAAAGGTTCACAAAAAGGCCGTGCACTAGTGTGGTGGAGCCATCCAGCTTTTTGTTATTTGTCAGTGCTCCGAAGTGAAATAAAACACCATTTCAAGCTGTTTTGGGCCCAGGGAACAGAAGCCCTATCTTGGGAAAAGAATGCTGGATGCTAGACAATAACTCTGTAAGAATTGTACATTTGTCATTCAATGTTGTATTGTTATTCAATAAAATAATCTTCTAGAAAAAGTAAATTTAAGTCATTCTCTCTCTCTCCTCTCTCTCTCTCTCTCTCTCTCAAACACACATGCATATAAAGGAATGAAAATTACATAAAGAAAATCTATGGGTATTAAATACTGGCTCAAAACATATTCTACATTTAAGTTTTTGGGGGTTTTTTAGAAGTTGATAATGCGGCAATTTTTTAAAAAAATGGCTGAGGGTCATATGACAATGGAACAGCAAAACCTGCCAACTTCCCCAGTCATTTAACACATCTCTTTTGTGACTCTGTTTCAATGGTAAAAAAATGCTCAGGATGGTTTCACTTACTCGTTTTGCCCCTTCCTGTTATTTGTCCTCCTTCCCCATCTGGGTAAATCGAAGAAACTGTAACGCGGTAAGGGGTGTCGGGCCGCAGCTTCTGGAGCACAATGCTATTCTGCCTCCCTCCTACTGTGGACTTGAATACAATGGAATGACATGAAAAACAGCAAGGCAACAAACTAAACAGAGTTCAGTCTGAAAAGAAGTATGTATTGTACGTACAGTACTACAGACTCAGGTTTCAGGTTTGTAGCTCAGAACCATACAATGTACTGCAACTATTTCATTGAACATTTTATGACTTATATGCTAGGTGGATTTTTTAATTTACCTGGTTATTTGTCAGGCACAAGAATGATAAGACATTAGACATTCCATGCATTTTTAAAAATAAACATTTTTTTATTTCTGCCTATCAGCTGAAAAATGTAAATATGAGGATGTCCACGTGGCTGATGAATTAAAAGCTATTACCTATAGCTCCCCGGCATAGGCAAGTGCAGGGGGAAGGGGAGGCAAGTGACGAATGTACATTATGATATCATAGTGCAAAGCCTGTGACTTATGTACATGTATCCAATGTCACAACCCATCGTGATATCATGACACACGCTTGCCATTTTTTTTTCATCATCGCAGTTCGTAACTGACTCATGGATCCCAGGGCCTTTGTTCATCTTTTATTATGGACAACAGGACAGATAATATGACATGAAATTCCAGCAAAATCCAATTGTGAGGACATGCAGCAAAATTAACTGTATCCGGTTGTGACACTTCACAATCAACATACAGCTATATGTGTTCTTCTCTGTGGAGAGCTTGGTGTATCTTAGAAAACTTGCATTGTTTGAAGCATACCCAGAAATGTTATCTTGTAACATGTTTTTTCCTCTCTCTCAAGTAAAATTCTACACTGAGATGTTTTATCTGATAGTCAATATTTCCTCCTTGTGATGTAGGAAGTCAAGTCATTTGAACTGATTATGCAGAATGCTAAAATTTATAACAGTCTAACACACTGAACAGACCTTTTTTCTCTTTATTATTATTTTAAAAATAAACAAAACAGGTTTTGTTTGACAGTGAATGCTTTCCCCCCAGAGAATTAATTACCGAAAGTTCAGGACCATCACCCGTGGCAGGTCGGTAAGTGATCTTGTAGCGTTGCACCCGTCCAATGGCAGGATCCCACTTGACAGTCAAGCTATTGGATGTTGCATTATATACCTGGAGATTCCGTGGGCCACTCTTTGGTACTGGTATGAAATTATTAAAACAGTTGCTGAGCAGAATCTTGTAAAAAATAAATGTGCAGTACGGTCATTCTATACTATGATGTGAAAACTATGTGCTCATGACTGAGAAAAATAATTTTAAATTAAACATAACTTTAAAATTTAGAATTTAAATAATAATGTATCTTATTGGGGTTTACTATGAATGATAAAAATGCATTCAAATTCAGAGTTGTGCAGTATAATATAGTATATAATGTTGTTATTACATAACGAGAACCAAAGGAAAATGTAATGTGGAAACTGTACATTCTTAAACATAACCAGTTGGAATAAAACCCATTGCACAAAACTATTTATTTGTTCACAGAATTTCTGCTTCTTTTAAAGACAGACCTATATCCATAGGAAGTTCTCTATGAAGCACCTTTTTATTTTTTAGAAGGAAGCGAGGGGAATTCCAGTTTGAAAGGTAAACTAATAAACTACACAAGTACGCATGCTGGTTTGCAGAACTTTCTGTATTTGCCCCCATAGCAATATACATATATGCTAAACAGCTACATTGTAGATTGTTGGCATCTTGATCCTAAACACATATACAGTATAACCAAATAACACTTATGCAGAAAGTGTCTCCAAGTCAACTGCTTATGTAACAGGAATTGCACATCAACTGATCCAACTTGGATACAAAGTCAGTATAATGTAAACAATAAATTGTTTTGCTACAGAAACTACTACATCCTATACCTGACAAGGGTTTATAATTTTTAATTCCCACAAACAGCGTTTCTCAGCATGCTGGCTGGGAAATTCTAGGAGCTGAAGTCCATACATTTTCAAACTGCCAAGGCTGAGAAACACTGCCCACAAAGTTACTCAAGTCACTATGTTTCCAGCATGCTAAAGGCAACATAGATTTATGACTGTCTCAATCTCCTTTTTATCTTCACCAATGTATACCAACTAATCTTTATGAAATTCTACTGTGCCATACTGTACTGGGGAACCAAAAAATGAGAGACATGCAACTTACCAACTATATGACTATAGGCCAGCAACTAACTTTTACTCTAACATATTTCATATACTTCCTACAGAGATAAAATGTGCTGCAGGTGAAAAGAACTTCACCTGAGTGCCTGAAGAAAGTTAGGATATACATATATTATTTCCCATTCATAAAATATAACAAATGATAAGAAAAAGTCAAGATCAAAAGCTTTGGACAAGATCCATGATGCATACTATTCAGGATTCATAGCATGAGAGATTTATGTTGCAATCACAGTATTCAGTGCTTGCACCATAACATTTTGGCTTCTCCTTATGCCCTCTAAAATTATGCTAAAATTCAGTGAAGGCTCCAGATGCTCATTGGTATATAAGGTAAATGACTGAAGGGAATTTGGAAGTCCTATATATATTTTAATCATATTCATATACAGCTTCTCTGTAATCTGAATTGGTCCTGTTTGTGGTTTCCAAGGATATCTATTTGCTATCTTTCCTATCCTTTTCTACTATTGCCTGATATGCAACATGCTATTCATGAAGTCAAGCACTTACCTGGTGTTGTTATAGGCACAATGGGCACTATAAAGAAAAATACAAAAGAGATTGAGTAGGTATGAAACGTGTGACCTTTACTCATCCCAAATTATTAATTTATTAAGATATTTCAAAACTACTTACATGTACGTTCACTGCCAATCAATTCATCACTCTCTGATTCATCAGGATAAATTCCAGTAACTGAGATGTCATACAATGTGTCTGGTGTAAGATTTTCAAAAAGTAGAGTATTTTCTTCACCATTTAGAATTGTCTTCAAATGTTATGGGAAAAAGAAGAAGAAGAAAAAAATAGAAGAGGCTATATACAAGCACCAAACATTTTTAATAGGGTAAATATATCATATAAGATATACAACCATTAGCTTTTCTCAAGGCACTGAAGACCTGGTTGTTTCTCCAGGCATTTGGATCAGGTGAGCTCTGTTGTTACTGATGAGTTTTTCAGTGAGTGAGGTTATTGTTTATCCTTGGGTGCCAGGGGTTATACGTGGTGGGTTTTCGGTGCTTTAATCTTTGTAAGCTGCCCAGAGTCTGTCTGTCTGTCTGTCTGTCTGTCTGTCTGTCTGTCTGTCTG